CCCAAATGGCTATGACAAATGTGTTTTCGCCCGTTTTATAATTAGCACCTTCACCGGTTCACCAATTATCCAATCATATAGTCGAGATTTATATTTAGCGTCATGTATGTTTTTTGTGCTCGGCACTAGAGAGATTTAAATTTATGCTATTTTAGACAATACAAAGCATTTATCCTTTAAAAGGCGCCTGAACCACGGTTGTTTAACGTATTCTGCCGTAGCAAATAACAGGTCGGAATGTTTTGAAATGTTAATCTTAAAATCATCGTCCAACTAGCTGCAATGCCAAGTGATTTTTCAAGAAGACAAATAACAAGACAACTATAAGAAATATTCGATCGCTGCTCGTGCTGACATGTAAGCTTTGATTTGGCGTCATATATAATTGAAAGACCAAACTTTTTCCGTATCCCGTAACGTAGGAAGGGTCGCGATAACGTCTTCACCACATGGCAAATCAATAATAGACATTCTCTGTTCTGGTTTCAACTGAATTTCGCCACCTAAAAGACTTGAAATATCAGAAAGAGTTTCCTCCAAAGCATTAACAGCCATATAATAAATGAGAATATATACTCGGGCAAAATTATTGTTGACATTTAGTTATGAAACTACTTCCGTCAACGAGATTGACCAATGGGAATTGAAGCCGAAGTTTTTTCGGTCAAAAACACATTTGTCATAGCCATTTTGGACAGGCGTTTCCTCGACGACGCACTCTCAGGCTCCCGACCGCACTAACGGCGCCTTCTATATGCAGGCTACACTTTCCCAGTCATTGGACTTGTGCGCTCTGCGGAGACGTTCTCTGGAAAGCCCAAGCCAGGTGGATGGTGGTGCTTGGTGCATTGCGGCTGGAAAAGAACGATAGATAGAAAAGGTGAAAATTGCCTAAAGTTTCGTTGAATAATTGGTAACAAGCATTAATGATAATGATTATTGTATAGATGTAGTGCTTAACTAATTAAAGTAATGCTTCATTCATATTTTGCATTAGAACAATTAACCAAAACGTCTGACCGATTTGAGATATGTAGCAGTAAAAGTATGATCTTAGCTTGTTGGCTTCGCGTTGTATCCCAGAAAATACTAAGAAGAAAGCCATGCAGGCTACATGAATGTTCGAAACTTGGACAGAATGGCGCTGGGAAATTTCTCAGGATGGAAGTGGGATTTTTTTTATTGACAGCATTCTATTGATTTATGTAGTTAAATTGTGAAATGATGTTTTCAAAAACAAGTTGTAATAGTGTAAATTTGGCATTAAAAAGAGGAAAGTTGATACCTATTATGGTTCATTTTTTATTCAAGCGAAAAATAGCGGTCATTATGCGGTCTCTTTCACGACACTACCCTATTATCGACTTTGACATTTCATATCTTCGATAATGCATGCATGGAGGTCATTATTTAAACTTAAGTACATATGGCATGAAATTTCTTAATTTCTTGAGTGAAAGAACTTTTTAAGCAGTTTCTTGTTTTTATTGTTTGTTTCTGAGATATGTCAATTTGTTTGATATGTAAATGAGTGAGAATATGTCCGCTAATTTATGTCGTCACGTTGGTTGCAAACTCTTTAAAATAATTGAATATCACTGCTATCCTCCAAGATGATAATTTCAAACTTCACTCACTGGTAAATATGATGTTACACTGGAGAAAAACGTGAACTGATATCTACAGTTTTTAGAGTTAATACATTTATAACCAGTGTAAGTTGAGCTTGCAACCAACGTGACGTCATAAATTAGCGGACATATTCACACTTATTTACATATCAAACAAATTGAAATATCTCGGGAACAACCCATAAAAACAAGAAACTGAAAAATAAGTTACACTACAACTTAAAGAGTTCTTTTATTTAAGAAAATAAAATATTTCATGTCATATGCACTTTAACTAAAAAAATTACCTCCTGTTCATTTAATGAACATAATAAATGACGTAGCGTTCATGTCAGCAAACCGTTACTTAAAAATAACAAGACGCTTACAAGAGTGTTAATTTGCTGGCCGGCCATGGCCAGAAATGGAGTGCAACATGGCTGCCAAGCATGCGCATTTTGCCTCAAAATAGAAATTCAAAACTGCGTCTTCTTAAATAATTTGAATGGCAATAATGTAAAATTGGTATTTTTGATAACTTACGGTTGAGATATCCAAAATGTGCACATCTGAAACTTCACAAATTCTGTCAAACTTTATCCGTAAAAAAATGATACAACTCGAGTTGTCTAAGTATGTTTACATAGTCTCTCTATAGGAAAGTAATATGTGATTTCGACATATTAGGTATTTTGCAGGTCCAATTTCAACTCGTTCTTTGCAGATATCGTCAAATGTGCAAATCTGAATTGCGTAAAAGTATACACTAATATGTTCCCAAAGCGATGAATTGCATGCATTTTGTAGAAGAGGCGTTTGTCCAATTGTGATGAGAAATGCACCATATTTTGAACAAAAATATCACAAATTTCGCACCAAGAGTTATATTTCTTGTCCGTCATTGCTTTTATAAAGCTGTTGCTACGTTACAAAGGTTTTAACCGCTGTCATTATAGGCTGTAGTCTCGTAAACATCCTAACATTCGCGGGATTTCGTAGCCTTAAAATTTGATTTTCCAAACTTCAAAACATTCATAACTATTGAGTGTTGGTAAACTTTTGAATTTGAGAACCGATCAAGACTCGGTTTTGCGTAAAGTTTGTTATAGTTTATTATTTTGCTTGTTTTCTATATATTTGATTGTATTTGTCATATTTTCAATGTCGGATGTTCCGCCATTGTGCCCTATGCATACGTGTTTGCAATGGAAATTATGTGTTGAAAGCCATTCGTTAAAATATCTCTTATTTTTAATATAGAAATCTGCCGTGCTCAGATTATTTACTTCTCGGTAAAACTCACCGAGCTATACTAGTAAAAATAAACAGCCATTTTGTATTTGCCAAACTGAACCACTTATTTCAATTGCTCAAAAAATGACTGACTTCTTTGAATCCCAGGTAAGCGGGACCATATATATATATATATATATATAAACAGGCCCTAACTCGATTGTTCGGAGCGATGCTTCAGCTTTTAGTTCTTATCAATGCTATTGCAATGGTGTCAATTTTTTAATATAAATAACTGTATGTACGTCTTGACTTAGCTTTATATTTTTATTCCCTTTGGGCTTTTCGATTTGTAAAAAATGTCATGACTGATATATGACCATGATGCAAATCAACTCTTGCATGTATATTCTTGTTTATTTAATTAGTACATATTCGTTTGCTCTCGTCTTCACTTTACTGAGACTGAATTTAAAGGAAACAGCCTGTTTTGTGACCACACGACCGGTAGTTAACAAAATTAAACACCCATAATATATAGCGTTAATTCTAATATTTTATGACCTTACTAAAGATAGGTTTTTCGTTCGATTCAAGTAGAACGGTTACGATTCGATAATTATACGATTATTTCCGCCTTGGCAACATGAACCATCAGCCTACAAAACATGACAGTACTGGACACGTATATGTAAAACTTACTTGCTATTATTGAACAAGAAGTGTCGCTAACCTGAACTTGGTCGGGTCCATCCTTTGACATTTTTTTGTTGCTGTCTTCTCTTTTTGCCTTTCTTCAACAATGACAATAAGTGAGCGAGTATCAGACATTTACTTCGAATCATGGGCGTACCGGAAGGAAAAAATTAGGGGGGCGGAAAGAAAATTGCCCGACTTTTCGGATTCTGCCCGACTAGCACCAAAAAATTCTTTCCGCAAAAATTATTTCGGCGACCTCCCCCCGCCCTTCCCCCCCCCCCGGTCGCCAAAAAAATTTCGGTCAGTGTACCATTTTAGGGGTTCAAAAAAATTTTCCGGACAACCAATATTTTTCGGAACATAACACAAATTTTCGAAAAATCACAAAATATGCGAAAAAATGTACTTAATTTTAGACAAAATTTACTGAATTTGTCCCATTTTTTTTTATTGCAAACCAAAATTGCCCGACTGTTGATCGAATATTGCCCGACTGCCCAAAAAACTGGGGGGGCTGCCGCCCCCCCCCGCCCGGTACGCCTATGCTTCGAATTACTCCCTGCTAACTTAGTTGTTATTCGTTGGCATGTTACGTTGACTACAATTCTAAATTTATAGTTAATATCATTTTCCACGAAAAACATTTTTACTTTTATTTTTTACGGCTTACAATAGCTAATAATAATCAGCGGGTTTTCCCACCTTATAAATATTGCAACATTGCAAGACTTGCATCACACACTAAATGTCATCAATCAGGTTTCCTGGTAAATCACATGATAATGTGTGGTCTGCATACAGTTGACGATCAAACTCGCAGTTTGGATCAGAAATTCAGGTATCGCTAAACAACGACCATGATTGCAATTATTGTTGAAAAATGAAACAGAAGGGACTGCCTTTTTATAAGTCGTATACGATATATACGCATTCGCGCATGATTTTTAGATATGGACAACCATGCATTATTTTCATCTCATGTTGCTGGCCGGTTATTCCCCGCGTAAATAGATATTGCAACACTACATATAATTGTTAACACAAAGCATTGCAACATTAATCAGAGTGAGTGCTATATAAGCGGAATTTACCCGATGTTGATAAATTTTGCAACATCACTCAAAACAGCATGAATCAGTTTTGTCGGAAATTAGAAGATTTTAATACGTCGAGAATGTCATTACATCTCTGGGGCCCTTTGAATGAGGGCCTGAAAGCGCTATCCAGCGTACGAGAGATATATACACAATTATAATTTATATTTTATAGTATATTTTATGATTTTCACCATCAGGCGTTGTTCAGAATAGCAGAAGTTGCACCAATCAGCAGAATTAATTAAGCAAGTGAGGTATTGATGTTGCTGGGTTCTCCCCGATGTAGAAAATTACGTCATTGAACACCTGCAGTGACACATATGAACAGCTACATGCAGTTCCTGGTAAAATCAGATTTTAGTTTCGAAATCGTCAGCATATCCCTGTATGTCAACTGCAAGTTAGGCCAGTTGCAATTCAAAATCGTATTTAGAATTGAACGACCAGACATTGGAAGACAACGACCATTGCAATTCAAAAATGACAACGGATGGGACAACGACGTTTGGTTGGGCAACTGCCTTCTTATCCTTGATCAGTTTTATGTTGATTTGGCCGCTTTTGTACAAAATAATACAAGTAGGTTTCTGACGTTCATTTACATTATTATAAACTAACCGACAACTTGATATTGTTAGTAGTTAGATATAACAAAATTTCGTAGACGTATTCAGTATATTATTATAACGAAAGTATAAATAATTATGATAGTACCATATAGCGTGTTTTATTGATGTTTCTCGCCACTTATAAAATGGCAGACCTAATAATGTGATATACAGTTATTGGAAAAAGTTCTCTATATCATATAATTCCGGAAAATTCTTGAACATTAATAGTCGATAATTCTCGGTATCAGGCATATACGAATACCGAATCCAATAGCCTAAAGTAATTCACAATTTGTGATATCACCACAGAAGCCCAATCCCAGAATGAATGATCTGGTGTTGCGGGTATTTAACGGCTTTTATACACAAATTTTAAACTCAACCAAAACTATTTTTAAAAAATTCTGAAATTAGACAAATAACTATACATTAACAATAAAATATAGTTGATATGATAGCATAATATCTTGCATTCTTTTAATTACTACATGAGCTCATTTAGAGCGATTGATGCTACCTTTTGTCCTTTTCTGTGGCCTAAGACCATGCACAGTATAGGGAGGAACAGTAGTGGCACTCATGGGATAACAAAGTGTCCGCAGCTTTCACTAATTCAGGTCCCAGACGTTTTAGGCGGCCAAAAAATCAGCAGCCAGTAAACAACAAGAAATTATAGTGCAGAATAATTGTGTTTTAGCACAAAACGGCCTAGTTTCCTTCAACAACTGGATTAATTCTTATCGAAGCGAGATGTTATACGAAAAAAACAAACATGTGTGATTACATTATTACATTGTAGTTGTTAAAAATCTGTAGAAATATAGAAATCATCACTAGAAATCATAACCATCGCGCCCGCAGTTGAGTGTGTTTGCGGTAACACCCGTAAGGTTTAATTAATGTTAATTAACGCATTTCAATATGGCCGACAAAATACAAATACGAGGCGCAAAGCCCGCAATATCTTATGCTTCACTGCACAATTTATCAGAATTTAACATTGTAAAACAGAGAAAAGGGAAAAAGGTCTTCAGGCTGATTGTACGAAGTCGAGAGAATAATCGAAAGCAGAAAAAAACAAGATATGGTAGGTAGTTTTTGATATTTGTAGGTGATATACGTTAATGACTATACATTCATACTTGCAAATGCAAATCAACACTTTACCCTCGCCAATGATGCGGATCCTGATTCGCATTTCTATTGTGATTTAAACCATTTTGTGATTACTTAATAGAGGATCAATTCAACAAGCTAATTCAAAACGAAATTCATTGTTTTTTCAGTCAATTTTCTATTTTTCATTTGAATGTTCGGAGTTTGGATCAAAATTAATTTAAATAGATTAACAAATTTATTGCATAATTTAAATAATTATACAATTTTCTGTTATTGGTATTACTGAAACATGGTTACAAAATGCGAGTCATCTACTGGATATAAATGGTTTTAGTTTTTTCATAAACATCGATTAAATAGAGTTGGCGGGTGTTGATTTGTATTTATCCGAACATTATGATTCGAGAATCCGTGGTGATTTGTGTTTTGAAAATGAAGAAATAGCGTCTCTATTTATTGAAATAAATAACCAAGATGTTGCCAGTTGTTTGACTATAGTTATAATGAATTGCTTAGTGAAATTACAAAGGAAAATAAGACTTGTTACATAATGGGGGATTTTAATTTAAACTCATTATGCTTCCAGCAACACTCGCTGACTGGCGAGTTCTTGGAGCAAATGTACTCTAACACAATCTTTCCTTTGATACTTCGTAATCAATACTTTGCTAATCAATTTTTTTGCGGATCATTTTCCAATTTTTTGTAATTGCTTTGAAAATAATCAGACAGTAAATAAGAACAATGAAACAATCACTGTTCGAGAACAAACTAGTATAATTTAAATAAATTTAGTGCGCAATTGTCCAGGGTTAATTGTTCAGAACTTGAAGGTTTTAATGATACAAATCAATCATATATATATAAGGCCTTCGATTCTGAATTTACTAAAATATACAACACATGTTTTCCAGTTAAACATATGAAAAGAAAACATCATTTTTCAAGTAAACAAAGGTTGTCAAAAGGAATTTTAAAATCTATAAAAAGAAAAAAAGTTATACAGACGTTACTTACGTAACCCATAGAAATAATAGATATAGAATGCGTACTCATATCTTTTTTTAGTGAAAAATTTGTCTCCACAAAATGGCGGATTTATAAGGGCATTTTGGTTGGTCCCAGTCTCCTGAGGTGGGAATTTCGCGCGGTCCCAGGCTTCTGATGCAGGAATTTCAACTGCAAAGATTTTAAATCGAGACTTACAATGCAAAAAAAAAGTTTTACAAAATAGAAAAAGTGTCTAAAAACCCATTCTAGTGGGCTTTTTTACGAAAAGCAACAGTTCTGAACAGAAAATATACAGAAATCGTTGTTTAAAAATCAATTTTCAACGTTGTTGTACAAGCCAAAACAAAACCCGAAAGATCAAGACAAACTCAAACTCAATAGGTATGTTCTATAAATATTTCAACTCTTTTATAATGTAAATGAATTTCAATAATCTTTTTAAACTTACACAATTACTTTCATATTTTTCTACGTTGCTTGAGCTCAAGGCAACGCTTTTGAAACCATAGTTTTCGACGATTATTTAGGCAATTTACAGTTTTATATCTTCAACTAAATATTTTTGTTTCAAGAACATGAAAACACTTCGTTTACATCGAAGAAAAACGAAACCCGACGAAGAAAGAACTATCATTATGTACTCTTGTACGATGTTAGCTAAACAGTGACAGCAGTGACGTTTACAGCGTTCAAAAATGTGTTATGAGTAAATTATATTTACACGAAACTACTTTGTTTTTGCAAGGATGCACGATTTTCACCATTTTTGTAACTGCAGATTTGTTTTGACAGTTTATGCTTTCAAAGAACTCAAAATCTATCCACGATAAAAACGTAGTTTTAGCTCTGTTTATATATTGTAGTTTGCACTCCTAGTCAAATTCAACATGCGGATTTATAAGGGCACGCATGCATGAGAAAAAGTGGAGACATGATTCGTGATCAAGTACGCATTCTATATCTATTATTTCTATGACGTAACCCTACACCTGAAAACGATTCGAATTACAAAAGATACAAGAATAAACCGAATCATTCAATAAAGATTGCCAAATAATCATACTATGCTAGTAAATAGCAGAATATGAGATCTGACATGAAATCTACATGGAAGGTTCTCGATGAGGTTATTAATAAAAAGAAATCAAAGCCTACCATAAGTTCATTATTTAAAACGAGTGATAACACGGAGATCTCTGATCCAATTTCCACTGCCAATACATTTTGCTACTATTTCACTAATACCATCAATTGCAACTAAGCGGAAACACATCATGAGAAAACGCGATCTAACTGGACATGAAACATAACATGTTTGGACTTCAAACTTTACATGATTTTGCTGGAATTACTTTTCCCGCGAAAACGCCGGTAACAAAGTTAGTACAAACATTGCAAACAATACTGAATTTGTCCACTATAAACGCACAATTCACAAAATTCGCAGTATGTTAGAACTTCAGTAAGGCGTGTTTCATACATCGAATTTAATTCGGACGAATTTAATCACGGATTTAGTGAATGCAAACTAATCCGCGCCCAATTTGAATGTGTTTCTAAATTTGGAATATTGACAGTTGAAACAAGTTGAAACGTAAATGTTTGCAGTAAAGTCATGTGATGTTTGAAGTCCAAACAAATCATGTTTTACAGCCAATTGGATCGCGTTTTCTCATGACATGTTTCCGCTTAGTTGTACTCGACGGTATTGGCCCAAATCTTGCTAAGAAAATAAAACCTTCTCAGTCCCTCGTTTGTTTCTTTCCTTCTGGATGTTATTCTCAGTCTGTTTTTCTTGATTGTGTGACCTCCGCTGAAATTATTGAAATTGCTAAATCGTTTCTATCAAGTAAAACTGAAGGTTATGATAAAATTCCTATGTCAATAATTAAGCAGTTTATTAATATAATTGCAGAGCCACTTTCTCATGTACTTAATTTGTCCATTGCTAGTGGCATTAGATAGATATAGATAGATATTTAATAAATTTCTCCCTAAAAGGGTTTTTCAGAAATTATTTACAGTTACATGCATGCAGTAATAATTAAGGTTACAATTAATATAAGTTTAAACAATTATCAAAGACTATATACAAAGTCTAGTTGGTTATACTAAATGTCATCTTTTGCAAGCAAATGTTTTTTAAGTGCTACTTTAAAAATTTTAAGTGAAGAGCAGTCTTTCAAGTTCTTGTCTAAATTGTTCCAAATATGGACGGCTCTATATGTATATCTATATGTATATGGCATTGTTTCTGATTATATGAAAATTGCATGTGTAATTCCATTATTTAGAGCAGGTGATCGTGTAATATTCTCAAATTATAGACAATGCAGCATCCATATCTCCTGCATGTTTTTCAAAGTTTCTTGCAAGGGCTATGTATAATCGTCTATTAGCATATCTCGATAAATTTAAGATAATATATGATAATCAATACGGATTTTTCAAAAACCATTCAACTTCATTTGCTTTGATCGATTTATATGACAAGATTTTAGACGCAATTGACAGAAAAGAAACCGTTCTGTGGGGGATTTTCCTGGATTCATCTAAAGCTTTGATACTGCGAATCATGAGATTCTATTTGATAAACGTACTGATATTTGTCGCATGCATTGCATGAATTACTTCAGAAACGTGCAATTAGAATATACTGAATAAAAGCGCATTCGATGCACGTACTGGCCCAATATTTAAGAAGCTTGGCTTATTGAAATTGAATGATATTTATGTGAATAGTGGAATGATATTTATATCTACAACTTGAACAATTTATGTTTCATCATAAATTTTCTCTTTTACCTGAAGGATTTGACGACACGTTTTTATAATAATTAACA